TGTCTTCGTTTACAATGGCTACAAGTTCAGCTGTTTGATGTTCGGTTACTCCTGTTACCTTGTATACTTGATTTGGAGTGGTCCTGACCTTTTGATACACAACAGCTTTCTCAACTAATTTTGGGGACTTTTGATGGGACAACCGAGCGAACTCCACTGAATTTTCAGAAATTAGATTCTTGTGATTTTCAGGCTCGGTTTTAATAAATTCTGAGCAGTCAACCGTGTCCTCTACAGAAATTTCGCTCATGTTATCGTCCTCGTTAAGCTCAGATGCATTTTCAACATCAATTTTTTTTCTGAGCTTACGTTGGCGTTTAAAGAGTCAAATTTTTGCATGGTTTCGGTTCTCAGTTTAAGTCTGTCATTTTCATCCAAAAGATTTTTAAGCATGTTCTTGTGGTCTTTGGATTTAATGAAGGACTCAATTTTGTCCAGTCCATACATGTAGGTTGGATTGACATCATCAGACGATATCACACTCTCACAATTATAGGCTTCGGCATCGATTTCATCTTCCTTAAACTCTAGGAAGGGCAAGATCATGCGGTGGATCTTTTGGCCTATTTCACAATCCAAATGAAGCTGAGTAATATTAGAATACAGACGTTTAGCGATTAAACAAAAAACATTTCGTTGTTTTAACAATTTTAAATTGTCTCTTTGCAAATAAATGTTTTCATCTTTAACTTTGACTAAGTCTGACTCCTTTAACTCTATCCACATTCTCCGCTCCTCACTCTTCGACGCCACCCTGCTCAATTGATCAGTTAGGTTAGAATTTGTGACTCGAGTTTGAGTTAAGCTACTATCTAGATGTGAAATTCTTGTATTGACGTTTTTTAGTTCTTTCTCATAAGAGGATGATGGTACTTTGCATGAAATAAAAACAGATTGTACCTTCTTTATCAGTTCATCGAGCTCATTGAACTGCTGGCTGAGCGGTTTGGCCGTAAAGCACATATCCTCCTTTGCCATCGGTGTTATATCCCCTCATTTGAGATACGTCAGTTACCATGAAGCACTTTCCACCACTACTTTCTTCCTTAGTCATGTAGGCCTTTCCATGGGTAGGCTGCCTCACTTCCTCGTCTTCTGAGTCGGTAGACCAAACTTCCGTGCTGCCGAATTCATCACCTTTAACCGAACCCTGCACAATAAGAGCATTAATAGAAGGGTTAACGGCAGACTTCTTCTTTCTCAACTCATCCAGTCTTTTCTGCAACACGGCTTCCTCGTCATTCCCATCATCTTTTTCAGCCATCTTCTTAAGGACACAGTCCTTAGCATAGTGATTCTTCCCACCACAGTAGAAACAGCTTACTCCAGAATCGCCATCCACCTTCGGTTCCTTTTTGTGCTCCTCAGCTTTCGGTTCATTAATCACTTTTTCAGAGCTGTAACTCCCCTGCCAGCTTCGGTTTTTGTTGCTGGGGAATCTCTTCTTTATGAACCTCTTGGGATTGGACACCATCATGGCATAATCCTCAGACGTGAGATCATATTCCTCCAGGTTGAGATCTTCATCCTCCATCGCAGCTTTACTTTTAGATAGGAGGGCCAACGAACCGAGACTGGAAACGACGTTCTTTTCTTGCAGCACAATCTTCTCTTGGGACTTGAGAATACCCACCAGTTTCGCCAAAGAGTATGATTTAAACTGCTCATGGGCTTTAACTGTGGAAACCACTGCTCTCCATTCAGACCTCAGACCATTCAGGAATGTAACCTTCTGTTCGATAAGCTTCCTTTCAATATCGTGTTTGATCATCTTGCTGAGAAGATGATTGAAGCGATCGAACGTCTGGGTCACAGTTTCTTCAACCCCTTGCCTGAATTCTCCAAACTCAGATAGGAGCAAAGTTTGAATAGAATGTTCAAGATCCTCGTCTGTAGAATACAGTTCGCGAAGTCTATCCCAAACATCCTTTGCCGTCGTGCATGAGCTAACCAATCTGAATGTATCGGACTGAAGGGCGAACCTGATCAACCTTAATGCCTTGATATTGCACTGGAACTTATCCTTTTCATCTTGTGCAATATCTTTCACGTCCTTTAGCAGATCATTGTACTCTTTTTGTGTCTTGATGATTCTGGACGTTGCAGAATGAGAAAATGGTCCATTGGTGATGGCTTCCCAAATGAGATACCCATTATCCTCCAATCCAATAACGTAGTCTTCGAAGTGATGTGCCCATACTTCATAGTCATGGGTGTATAAGATCGGAATCTTTGTCGTCGAACCAATGCTGTTGGAAATATTAATAAGGTTTGATTGTGTCGCGTCCATTATGATCGTAAAAACCTGTTCAAAGATCAGACTTGTAATAAAGCAGATTAGGGCAAAGTAATAAATATCAAGATACGTCAATAAAGAGATGACGGCTCAATAAATATTGATGATTGCGGAAAAACCCTAATGGAAATCTTTTTCACAGAAAAGATGTGTATCAATTACACAGCCTCCTGCTCTGATACCAATTGATGAGATTTAACAATCTTTTAATCTATAAAGATCGATTAGATCTTGAACAAGTAAGTAAACAAAGACGATAAAAACACAATAATAAGAACGAGACAAGATTGAATCAAACGTGTCGAATGATTAAACAAAATCCTCAGAAGAGCTCGATTAAGAACATCAACTGTAGAGGATTGGAAGGTTACAAGAACGATCAAAGAAACCTGTTGTCGTCTAGATGTATCGCTATTCTCAGATCTCTAAAACCTTAACCTAATATGCATGCAAGCGAAAACTTATATACAAAACATAAAAGGTTCACGGTTGGACAGGCCCAAACCAGAATACAGAATAGCATAATCAGTCGAGCCCAAAAGACGCAATCTACAAAGCCCAACAGACTTCAGTTGACCTTAGGGTTTTGGTCAAGCTAATTCAAGGAATGTTAGAGAGGGGTAGAATTGTCTTCTACCCATTCGTTAGAGATGAGGTCAAGAGAAAGTATTTGATTAGGGATGTTATCTTTTGATAGGAGGAGACTAGGTCAGATTATCGAGCACGAGAGGTTATCCAACATCATACGAGGTGACTCTTCTCTTTATACTTCACCTAGAGTGGTCATTACGTATGACCGGAAGGTCTTATATGCTATGAGTAGAATGTGATGTATACTGTTATATGATATGTATGTGCTATGTTATGTTATGAGTAATATGGTATGGACCGGAAGGTCATTATGATATGCACCGGAAGGTCAATAGTGTATGGACTGGAAGGTCAAGATGATGCGGACCGGAAGGTCCTTACAGGTAGAGTCAGAAGGTCTACCAGGGTTTGGACAGAAGTCTTCTGAGACGCATGGACCGGAAGGTCCCATAGAGCTATGGCCTCGAGTGGCGTATATGTTGTATGTGATATTCTGGGGAAGTCACTAAGCATTTATGCTTACCATGTTATGTGATATGTGTTTTAGGTACCAACGAGGATCGCGGGAAGGTACCAACATGATTTGTACATACTAACAGAGGATTGTATTTTGTGATCTTGGGATATGTTTTATTATGATGACATTTTATGCACATGAGATTTGAGAATATTATATGAATTTTATGTTTGAAAAATGAAAAAATTGTTTTAAATTTTCACGTTGTTACAACATAAGTATTCAAATTGGATAAAATACATAAGTTCGTTGTGCTACAATAACATTTTCCTAAAAACATTTGTCTGAGTATGAACGGGGGAACTTCCAAAACCCACCTAAAGGTCTAACATTTTTTTTGTTTTTTGTTTTTATTTATTATTATTATTATTATTATTATTATTATTATTATTATTATTAATTACAAACAAATTAAGCAGAAGCCCCCTCCTAATATTTCATCGAGCACCACGAGTTCGAGCTTATTTACAATGCAAATTCAGCCCCTATATATACTTGAAGAGAAAGCTTCTCATATGTCGCACCACAAGAGGTAGTTCAGGGGAATCAAATTTTCAACCTCACACCGTATACGAATATAAAACCTGGTGCATCAACTCAGATATCACTTGCACCATATGTTTGTTGAATTCTTCTTTTTGTTGGTAGAATTTTGTGACAATAATTTGGATGAATATTTGTTTTAAATTTTAAACTTTAATGCTTAATTTTAAATTTATTTAATATTATTTAAGATATTTCTTCTACGTTGTGCGAGTATTCTAGAAATATGTCAAAGAAGACTGTAAGAGAATTGACTTTTCGAAAGTGTTTTAATACCAATTCTTTTCTCACATTAGAACTATGATCTAATAAGCAATATAGTTATTTATCATTTTAGTTAGAAATAATAACTTAAAAGGTAATATATATATATATATATATATATATATATATATATATATATATATATATATATATATATATATATATATATATATATATATATATATATGGTAACTAAGTTTTTTTTTTCATCCCAACTTTTTTATCTGTACACATTTAGTCATTGTAATCGACTACTCCACGAAACCCGAAAAAAATGATATAATATGTTAACATATTTTTCATTTTATACACATTTAATCTTTAATATTTTTTTGCACATTTAGTCCCTAATAATTTTGTTGCAAAATATGTCCTTGTTGTTTTTCTACACATTCAATTTTTATGACCGCTTTATTTAGGTTTTTCTCATAGCATCCTATGTGATACAATCGTTAAAAAGTTGTTCAGAATGGTTGATGCTTAGGGATACCGCGATGTCGACTGCTTATATCTTGTGTTCTGAAGGTTGTAACTTCTTCCAATCACATATTTTAATTATATTTATATCCACGCATTTGTATTTGAGTCTGCTACAACATTCATTTTGCTTTCTTACGTTAAAAAGTAATATATATTTTTAGTTATGAACTTTATATCAATGCATTCTTAATGTATCCTCTAGGTATGCATCAAAGATAAAGGGTCAATTATCTAAAGTATGGCTTAGCTGACGGTCATTACCTGGCGTAAGTGCTAGGCCCGGGCCCTCGCCCTTGCGGCCTCATACTTATGCCCCGACGTTCTCATGTCAACCATCCGAGGGAATCGATTCAAAATGGGCTCCCTTCCGATAATTGTGTTACGTTTACAATGGCGTTGGAGAAAACCAGTCTTTTAATGGGGAAGGAAGGATTCGTGACTGCTGCTAAATTGCTTGGAGAAAGTCTACACAAGACCTTGAACGATAAGGATGGAATCATGAAAGATTTTGGGTCGTTCGAAGATTTATTGGCGAAGATGATGCCAACGTCATGGATAGGGGTTGCGGGAACACCGAAGCTTAAATTTTACGATTTGGATTTTGGATGGGGGAAGCCGAAAAAGCATGAAACAAATTCCATAGATTTTAATGGATCCATATCCATGGCTGCCTGCAAAGAATCGAACGAAGACCTGGAGATTGGTTTGTGTCTTTCTGCTACTGAGATGGAGGCTGTTGTTAATGTCTTTAATGATGGATTAGAGGCGTACGTACGTGTAGATTAATCATTATATCTTGATTGCTTTTTATATTTTCTTGTTGAATTGTGGATTCATGGTAATTACTAATTATGGTTATGATTAATGAATGTATGTGTAACATCCAATATAGTTTTTTTGCTTTTGGTGATTAGTGACTACACATATATAAGTCATGCATATAATATAGTTTAGTTGATATTTCAATAAATACAATTATTATGTTAATTTGTTTACAATGTGAACCACCAATTAGTCGACTTTTGGGTTGCTGTCTTTCTAGACAAGGACAAATCGTACATTTTATGTCGACAAAGGAAAAAATAGTTATAAACAACAAGCCATATGTGGTAATATGGATCGACCATTTATGTAGGGTGAATTACAATATTATATTGGCTTAGTCATAAATAAAAGATAAAATTGCAAAAATAATCCTTATGTTTATAAAAAAATATGGTTTTAGTATAAAACATTTGATGGTGCATCATTTTTTTTTTAATGATTTTGGACGTATACAATTAAACCTACTTTTACACCCTTATTATTATATTACTACATATTTTTTAACTTAAAAGAACAAAAGAAGAAATAAAATTATTAAATAACCTCCCTCGCCACCCTTCATCATCGATTCCAAAATCATTTGGGAGAAACCAATTCGTAATCTGCTTCACAACTCTCTTTCTTCCAAAACTATCGCCGACAGCCGTCGCAAATATGACATGCCACCATAATTTATCTCTCTCATTCTCTAACTCCCACAGTCGACATTCATTTTTGATGACAGGGTTCATCTCCATCGTTGGATACCTGCAAACTGAAATCCATTTTTCTCTTTCTATCATTGGTCAATTCATCTCCAACACACAACCATAGCTAACCTTAAATCCCACTTGAACCTTCCCTTCTCCCCATCTCTCCTTATCTTGTTGCCATGTAATCGACTATATTAATTTGTATTCCTTTTATAAGTCTTTTTTTTAATTATATATTGAATCCTTTATGTTAACAAAATTCATTCTGGAATATTATCTCTCTATATATGGTATCACACAAGTAGTGATTATCCCCTTCTTTTTTCCCAAATCGCTCCTCTCCAAACCCTATCTCCCTCCAGTGGATCTCAGGCATGTCGACTCCTTCTTAATCACCCTGCCTATGAATACTCTTCTCCATATGATCACTATTAAATTAACCTCCTCCAATTATTTATTATGGCATAATCAGGTTTTTCACCTTATAATTCATCAAAATTGGCTAGGTTCTGTTGATGGTTCCAAATCGGTTCCAAAAAAATTACTTATGGTTGAAAGTAAATACACCATAAATCCTATTTACTCCTCATGGGTTGAAATAGATCAAAAGATTCTTCTTCTTCTCCAGTCATCTCTTATAGAGGAATCCATGGCCAAAGCCCTTGGCTATACTACCTCTCACTCTCTCTGGTCTGCATTTGAAGTTGCATGTGCTCAAAATATTAAGGATTCTCTTTGAAATTTGAAGAAAGAAACTTCCTCTGTATCAGATTATGGAAAAGTTTAAATCATTGTGTGACAAGTTGGCAGCCATTGGTCACTCTATCTCTGATGATGATAAATCTCACTAGTTTTTGTGTGGTTTAGGCCTTGCCTTTGAAACCTTTTCCATAGCCTATCGATCAGTTCAACCTAGACCTCGGTACCATGATTTGTTAGGCTAAGCTGAAGGTCATGAAATCTTTCTCACATCTCTTCATGTCTCTTCTACACCTCAACCAACTTTTACTGCATCTCACCAGCAGTCTTCCCAACCAAATATGAAACATCCCGAAAATACAGTCTATAAATATTGTTTTAAATAATTAATAAAAACCATAATTATCAACCATTTCATTCGGAAACAAAAATAGTTATATCAAATTAGAGTATCATCTCAAAATGATCTTTTTATCAGAGTAAGCATCCTAGACTAAAACTTCTTGGGAGCTCCTCCCTCCGCTATCGGAAGTATCTGAAACAAAAACTGAAAACTGTAAATATAAAGCTTAGTGACTTCCCTAATTTACCACATACCATACACGTAATCACATATTGCAAACATTAGACCTATCCTGCTACATCGGGCCACGCCTGGCATCGAACGGATCCGACATCAGGCCCCGCCTGGAATCGAGCCTCGCTTGGTATACAAATCTGTTTCTGCTAGGCCCTGCCTGTCTCCAGGCCCCGCCCGCTATACATATACAAACAATAACATATAATCACACTAATACATATCAAAAAATCGTTATATTATAACTGCTAGTCTCAAGGCCCTGCATATCTTGGGTCCCACCCCTACTCTAATACTAATGATATATGAAACCTCGTCCACACTCAACTAGTTATGAGATACGGGCCCCCGCCCACACTCACCCCCTACCAGGTACATATATGTATGACAAAGACAATAAGTATATCTAAACATACTTTACTGCCTTGGGTACCACCCAGCATCGAACCGTAGTTCAGAAACATATCTATAACCCTTCGTCGGGTCTCGCCTGTCTTCGGATCTAAATTCGGTACACATTAACAAACATAAACGGGCCGACATTGGTGCCATAGACTCGTTCTTACTTGAGAGAACTCACCTCACAAGTTGACTGTAGAATCCTACGAATAACCCGTCGCTACTAGCTGGAAGATCCTTGAACTGCTGATCACTCGACTCCCCAAGCTATCAATTACCAAAATAACACTTAGATTAAAATACCCTCCAAAAGTCAAACTAAGTCAACCCTGGTCAAAGTCAAAGTCAACGATCAACAATCAAAGTCAACGCTCCGAGTTGACTCAACTTGTCGAGTTGCTCCCTCAACTCGTCGAGTGCAAAAACATCGAACACTAAAATAATGAACCAACTCATCGAGTCAGCCCCTGACTTGCCGAGTTCCCTAGTTACTCCGGGTCACGATTTATCGAATCTACTCATCGAGTCGGTCCTCAGACTCGCCGAGTCCTTGCATGAACAGAAACGGGACTACTCACTTCGACTCGTCAATTCCCTCCATAGACTCACCGAGTCCCTTAGCTTGTTTGGCCATCTTAAAGGATTAAGCCACTATTCTACAGATCCAAACTCCAAACTTTGAAGATACATTGGAAATAACCTTGGAAGGGTAAAGTTTCCAACTTTACCTGTTAATATCCTCACTTAATGGGTTTCCATGCAAACCCTAACACTTGAGGACTTAGATCTTGGCGTACAAGCCATCCAACCCCAAACCAATGTATCCAAACACAGATCTAGACCCAATCACTTCATATCCATGCAAAGCTCCTGCCTTTTTCCTCCATACATGGCCTTGTGAGCTAAAAAGCCAAAAGAACACTTCTTATGCTTGCACGGGAATTCCTATGGTATAAATCTTGCAGCATTATGCCATAATAGCCCTTAATGGTTCTAGATCTGAAACCATAAGCGCTTGGGACGTTCATTCCTCATATGCCAGGGTTCTTGAACCAAAAAACCCCTAAAGTGACAAAAAATAGATCTAAGTGCATAATGATCAAGTTTGTAGCTTTCTTACCATAAAATGGAGAATGATGAAAGAGCTTTCTGGATCTACTAGTCTCTTATTGTATCCCAAAGGCTTTACTATCTTCTTCAAGCTCCAAAGCACTTAAGAATGCTCAAGTGTACAAGGCCCAAACTTTGAGTTTCCTAAACCCTGACCAACTCGCTGAGTTGGTCCCCCAACTCACCGAGTCGATCACTTAACTCGCAACTTAGAAACCTCTCCGACACGTAGAGTTCTTTCATGGACTCGACGAGTTGACTTCATCATTTAGGGTTTTCCTTCCTTTATTGCTCTTTTAGATTCCGGTTGTTACAATTTTTCCCCACTTAAACTAGACTTCGACCTAGAGGTCCGCTACGGTCAACCACCTAGTAACTTCTCACAGCCTTCCTATACGATGCATACTTTGCCTGCTCGGTCCAATCCTCAGAGGACCTTTTCCATTGTCTTTCCGTCCAATCCTCTCGAAAAAGTAAATCCTTGAAGGTAAAACCTCAAGAACACTATGACCACTAACAATCATGGGTACATCACCCTTATCCCACATAAAATCCTTCTCGTACTCCTCAAGTACTTACACCTGACATCTAAGGGGTTCACCCCTTTACCCTGCGCGGTCCACAGTCTCCCCAATGCAACTGCATCGAAGTTACAATCCTTTCTATCTCTGTAAAGAATAAGTCTTCTACCATAATTGCAATCCCAGACACTCCCTGTTCCATTCATCCCATCGTTACCTACTGCTTGATTCCACTTACTATGTTCCGGAGCTGAAAAACCAATCCTAGCGGATGGAACAAATAATCCTTCTCATAAAATACTCATCCCTATAATGGTTAGACTCAAAAGATTGCTGCGCAACAGAGTCAAATCAAATACTCTACGATTATTTAATCCTGTTGTGAGGGGCTTAACACCAATCAATCAATTGGCTGCTCCACATAAGGATTCTCCCATCCTTGCTCCTGTCTGAAGGTCTTGTCGTCTCTTATCCATTTTCTGGATGAACCGAGACAACCCTAGTCCCCGCAATCAGCCATCATCTTGGTTACCAAATATCCACTGGCTATTGGATTCAAGCTCCAGCTCTTAGTCGCTCCCAGCGACTTCCAATGGAAGCTTCAGCCATCTAAAACTTCTCTATCTACCTTGCCACTCTGGCTCTATAAGCCCTGGGATCCTCAATCCCCTACATTAGCCCTATCGTCTCTACTAGGTCCCACCTACACTACTACAAGTACATGGTCCTCGCTCACAGGTCTCACCCAACTAGATTTTAGAGTAGTCTCTCCCACAGGACTCACCTATCTAGGCCTATGCAGGCCCACTCCTCCTCGAATATCAACTTACTATCGTTTCCTGATCATGATCTTGCTCGCTCGGTGACACAAGCCTTGCCCACACCCTACTAACTGGGAGATACGGGCCCTCGCCCACACTCCCCTAACTAGGTGTTAACGATTTTACGGCTTACCCGCAGTCC